CATGCTGTGCTCTGTGTTATAGTTCATGGTCATGGCTAAACAGTACGACGTTTTGTTCAGGCTGATCTTGCTCGGGGACTCGGGGGTTGGGAAGACTTGCATGTTGCGCAGGTTCACGGACAGTGAGTTTGATCCTTCACATATCTCCACCATCGGTAAGCCATCCAACAAGTTTTCAAAACTCATCCTGTGAGTCCGCGTTAGCCTCAGGTCGAACCGGATAAACATGAGTCAGTGCCTTCTTCTGAATGAGTGCCGAGGATGCAACTTTTTTGGGGGGGAATTTTTCTTTACAGTTGTAGTGTAATTTCCCCTTTAATTCAAAGTGTATGAGCAGGCCTACTTAGCTTGTAGGATTAGTACAAATTACCTCAGGTCATAACAGCCCTGAAACTTACTGAAAAACATGTCAGTGCTGAGAAAACTTAAAATAATCAAATGTTTTAATAGAGAATGGCTCTAAGAAACACACTGAAGCGTGTAGGAGAGGTGAAAGGAGAAAACAGTGTCAGTAACAATGGAAAGGAAGGAGAAAGGAAAAACACATTGCTTTCTCTGCCCTCAAAGTCTTTGATATCTTATCCTGTTTTTATTCTCAGAGCGAAACCTGTGGACTGACACACACACACACACATTAGTGCTTCACATCACCGCTGCCTCTTTTCCTGACTGATAAATAGGAATCGGCTGTGTAGTTTTGTTGTGACTGTAGAGGAAAGTGCTGTAGGGTAGAGTGGAGCCTAATTCAGGGTGGGAAGGCTTTACATGGGATTAAACCCCGTTGTTTGAGAAAGTGCATGGTACATAACAACTCCTTGCTTCTAGATCTTATTATTGGTAAACATTAGACAGCTTCATTCATCCCTCCAGATCTGCATCCGAGTCCATTAGAGAGCTGTGTGTTGTAAACAAGTGTCTCCTTAAGTCAAATATCAGGGATTCTGTCATGATGGACAGATCCTGGAGCAGCTTCACTGACACAGAATAGAGAAACAGTGTGAGAGCATGATTGTTGGCACGTTTTCTGATTCTCTAGAAGCCCTACATTCAAATCCAACTCATTTGGGTGTAACATCTGAGCCAATGGAGTCATTAACTCTTCCTAGCAGAAGTTGAATAGGAAGTACAAGAACAGATGCGTAGTGTAGCTGAAACGATTAGTCAACTAATTGATTAGTTGATTGACAGGAAAATCATTGACTGTTTTGTAAACAGGCGTCCTATTAGCTTACTGTCACAGCGTTGTGGCTGACTGGGAAACCTGAATATAACAGAGTCACTGTTAATGTTATTAACACACTTTATCCTGCTGACAAGTTCAATTGTCTGCTGTAAGGCTGGAAGCTCCATAAATTAACCATTTAAGCTTATTTTTAAGCATAAATACTAAACATTATCTTGTTTCAGCTTCTTTATTCTGAGCATTTGCCGCTTTTCTTTGCTTTATGTGACAGTGAAGTGAAAACCTGTTGGTTACGGGCTGTTAGTCAAGCATAATAATAATTTGAAGGTGTCGCTGTGGGCTTTTTACGGAAGTGTGGTGGGTATTTCTCAACTTTTTCTTAAATCTTTTAGACCAAAAGATGAAGTAGATAGTAGGGGAAATAAATCATAAGATTAATCATTATTGAAAATAATATGCCAGGTATTGTATAGTATAGTATAGTATAAAAATAATACATATCCTTAAAAAAGAATTATATATATATATATATATATATTTTAAGCATCTAATGTATACAGTATGTAGCATGAAGAATAGAAATAGCCTTTTTTAGAGTGGACTTTCAATTGTGGTGGCAGCAAGACAAAACAAGTATTGATTTAAGAATATATACAGTATATTGTCTTTACTGCAGTATAAACCAATGAAGTGATCTCGAGTGATGCATTCCAGTTGTTGGCAGTCAGTGCTATTTTGTCACATTTCTTAGCTCTTGCGACCGCACACCACCCTAGTTCACATCAGTTGCAACCCCCTTGTGGAGTCACAATGATTTAAAAGCTGACACTATGCAGTGCCAGAGATACTATTCATTAGGGATAATCGTGTCTCTGAGCAACACTCATTAAGTGCTCCCAAACACACAAAAGTCACAGTTGCTTAAGTGATTCCATTTTGCATTTGCATCACGAATTGCTTCTGTTACAATGTGGTGACCCTGCTTTGTGCTTATTTTGGCAGGAGTTGATTTTAAAATGAAAACACTAGAAATAGACGGAATCAAGGTGCGAATACAGATATGGTAAGTTAAGTTACTCATGTATCATATAATTGCATTTACAGTATGCTGCCGTGGATATTGTGCCATTGTCTTCTGTTGATGCGTGTTTTGTCTTCTGTGCAGGGACACAGCTGGTCAGGAACGGTATCAGACCATTACCAAACAGTACTACAGGCGGGCACAGGTGATCCCTCTATATGAACAATGACTGGGGTCAAGTAACCTTCACAGGTTATTGTAGCGTTCACTCTTTAATTGTCCTTTGTTGTGGATTCTGGTCCAGGGTATCATCTTCGTATACGACATCACAAACATGCCGTCCTTTCAGCACCTAGCGAAGTGGGCCAGTGATGTGGATGAAGTAAGGATAAGCACTCTAATTTCACTTGCTCCGCTGTACTCGTTGCCCTTCAGTGACCCAGTATTTGTATTACATCTCTGTGCTCTGTTTATGCTTGCTGCACACCCAGTGGCTTAGTGTGAGTGACAAGATGATGAAGTCCCTTATCTCAGTGCTGTCTGTCTTGCGTTTTTTGTTGTTGTTTTGTTGTTGTTTTGCAGTCTGCCCCAGGAACGGTGCAGAGGATCTTGGTAGGAAACAAGTCTGATGAGGAGCTCAGGAGGCAGGTGACAAAGGACCAAGGGAGCAAGGTTAAATTGAACCTTATTTTGTGGTCTTTATTAGCGTGGTTTATGGTTGTTTTTTTTTGCATTTAACTTACTTGTTAAGTGATAATATACTGTGTAGGATTTTATAGACATGCAAAAGCATTCAAAGGTTCCGGTAGATTGTTGTTTCCAATGTTCACATTCAGTGATGTAAGGTGACAAGGATTACTACAAAATAGCTCTAAGGCTAAATATAAGCAATGTGTTATGGGGAACACTGACTAAAGCTATAATATACTTTTATTGTACTTATTTCTAACCATATCAAACTGGGTCCTGCAGCTCGCAGAAACCTATGGGATGGAGTTCTTTGAGACCAGTGCCTCCACCAGCAGTAACATCAGCGAGGTAGGACATAGGACGCATCTCCAAAGAAGCTGTCTGGCTCTTTCGAAATGTGCACAAACATTGCATGACACTACCCCTGCCACATTCTCATTTATTATCTGTGTGTTTATTTTTCACTTCCTCCTTTCTTCAGTCATTCACTCGTGTGGCAGAACTGGTGCTGCAGGCTCACAAGAGAGACGTGGACAACTTGTTGGGATCTCTGGATGATTATCTGGAGAATGCCGCTTTGGAAGAAGAGAAGGGCAGTCAAGATGCCAACGACAACACTCAGAAGACCTGCGCTTGTTAGAAAGATGACCATCACGGTGCCATGGCTCATTCTGTAGCTATAGACATTTGTTCACCACTGCAACTTGACTCAGCCCTCCTCCACCTTCCTCAGAGACACTGACCTGTTGGCCAGGAGCTCACTTTTTGTAAGTTGAGAAGTTATGTGGTGGTAAATGCAGTTAGCAACAGCAACCAGCAGAGGGCCAATTTTGTTGCATGATCATTGAACTCTCTAGCCAGTGAAGTATATCTACAGTGAATGATGGTAGCTCTGTATCCATTTGCTTCAGCAAAGCTATCCATACACATGCTTTCTTCATTTCCCTGGTGAAATGCACTATACTTCTATTTAATCAGCTTACTGTATTCCATCACCTTTTCTTTGTAGTTACTTTAAAAAAAAAAGTGATATGCATGCTGCACATTTACAAATTGATTGGTAACGTGTGAATCCATATCAAAGAAATCTGTTTATGAAGTTGAAACCAGTATATATCGTGCAGCAAGGTAGCCAGAGGACAGAGTTGAATTATTTACACCTCGAAACTCAAACCAAGCAGGGCTGGATTAATTTACACATTGGACGTTTTTCCTCGATGGAGACAGTGTTGTGCCATGTTCAACGACCTTTCTGAATGCAGTACATGTTTATTTACCATCCTGAATGTATATGTACAGTTTGTTTTATGAATGTGATGTGACTGGCATTGTCTGCTGTGTGTGCATTTAAGCAGTGTTACAGCTGCTTAAAATAATGATTTCAGGGTCTACCGAGGTGCCACAGATATTTAATTTTAATATAATGTTTGAAACTCAAGGAAGATGCAAACAAATCAAGCAATGTATAAGTTAATAAACTGAAATTGTCATATTTAAAATGAATTAATTGGGTATCTGAACCTTGCTGAGTCACTAAATTTGGATTAAGAGTGAAGTTAGGTCCAGGAAGAGTTCAGACAGTGGGTTCATTAATTTTTCATTGCCTGCTGTGAAAGACAGGTGATCACATGTTAAATTTTTGATGACTGAGAAAACGGATACATGTCATAGAGATACCATAAAGCTTAATACATGCCATAATATGTGTTGATATTCTCCAACCAGCACTCTTGAAATAAGCATGTCAATGGTATATTCAGGATGAAAAACAAATTTAAAAAGAATTCTTGTGAGAAGCACAGAACATGACATTTGGGTTCAAAGAAAGTATTATATAATGTATACAATTTTCAAAGCTTATCTAAAATAGGACAACACAATTGGAAACCATGCAAAACTGCTTCATGTACTTTTTTACAATCAGTTACATCAAACATTAAACATGTAAAGAGTATTGTATGTCAGGTGTAGATCAGTTTCTTCCAGAGCTATTTGACACCCATGAAAGGCAGCTTTCTGCCCTAAGTGAGTCAGATGACCAAGCAGTTTGATACAGTCACACGTTGAGATCCCATTTGCCTCCAGTGTGGAAGCACAGGAGACGAGATGGCGTTCATTGCCAAGACCTTCTACGACCTGAGGGCCACCACGCTGGAGGGTGACTCGGTGGATTTCAACGTGTTTAGGGGACGAGTGGTCCTGATAGAGAATGTGGCCTCGCTCTGAGGCACCACGACCCGGGACTACAGTGAGCTTAGCCAGCTTCAGAGCAAGTACCCCCATCGCCTGGTGGTCCTGGGTTTTCCATGTAACCAGTTTGGATATCAGGTAAGTTGAACTGCATGTTTTCTTCAGGCGATTCTGGATGACCCCGCAATATCTGGTCTATATATGACAGAAATCTGATTAAAGTACTTTATATGCAGATGATATTTTATTGTTAATGTCAGACTTGCTGCATAAATCTTCCACTTAATATAAACCTTCCCTCAAATTGACTGCGCTCTCTGGATGTAAAATATATTTTTTCCAAATCCGAAGCTACACTTGAATTCCACCATATCTTTAAAGCTAATTTTTTATACAATATTTAATACATTTAAATAGGATCTTGATCTTTCTCCCTGTATCCTCGCTAGGCCAGGTTTTGAATGTTCGTCCATGTTTGTTTTACACAATGAAAAATTATTCCCATTGTATTCATCCATAAAGTAATTTGAAAAAAGAACAGCATGACTGCATAATGTTCAAACTGTAGCCGGAACTTTAGCTTTGATACTGCAATTAGATTTTAACTATCTGCTTGACGCGCTTATAGAGAGTGATCTTGTTTTGCTACAGTGTAATCAGCTTCATTCCTCTTATCACTAAAATTAGATGCAAACCCTGAGCCTTCAAGCCCTTACAATATTGCTACGGAGTATGAAACAGCTGGACAATATAAAATTTAATTCTTGTGTTTTTTAGGAGAACTGCTCCAATGGTGAGATCCTGAAGTCCCTGCAGCATGTGCGTCCAGGCGGCAACTATCAGCCCAACTTTACCATCTTTGAGAAGTGTGACGTCAACGGAACAAACACACATCCGGTCTTTGCCTACCTTAAAGACAAGCTCCCTTATCCCGATGACGACCCCAACTCCCTAATGAAGGACCCCAAGTTTCTGGTATGGAGTCCCATCTGCAGGACGGATGTCTCTTGGAACTTTGAGAAATTTCTCATTGGGCCAGAGGGAGAGCCCTTTAAAAGATACAGCAAAATGTTCCCCACCATTGACATAGAGCCTGATATTCAAAGACTGTTAAGATTAACCAAGAACTAAGAATAGCATCCACCTCTTAATGACTTCTCATCCATCACAGTCAAAGCTGATATGCTGTCCTCCACACTTTTAAGCCTTATTAAATGAGGGTGATATTCTGAAAAGCTGAGGGAATATTATCTGAGGCCTTATAAGTGCTTAAGAGTAGTGGAGGAGTAAATTCAATATATGTAAAAGGACAGAATACTTGCAAATTAAAACCAACGTGGGTGTGCTTTATAGAAATAATCACAAGAGCAGTCCTTTGCATGTCCTTTTGTGTCTTGTCCTGTGCTAGCCCGGCCAGCAGATGGTGCTGCTGACTTGATCATACAAACATAACTTCTGCCGTGCTTTTATGAATTAACATTCAACACACACACACAGTCACAAAATGTTTGCACTGCAATAAAACCCTAAAAAGCAACATTCTCTCTCCCTGATGTATCTTTTTTAATCGGGCCGTGTCTACGGTGAAGCATATATGCTATAAAGATGTGTGCCTCGGATGCAAGGTTGACTAAAATAGATGTTGTCATGTCTGAAACAGCTCTGTGTGGGCATACTAATGAGGCTTGAAATACAGTAGGAAAGATGTGGAGTTATAATGCATTTTGTCATTCCACACTGAAATAACTCATAGGCCATTCCTCTGCATAATGCATCCTCTTGCCTGCTGATTCATTCGTTATGCGTTGATATCTTCTTTCCCCACCGATTCATTAGACCCATACATTTCCAAGTAAGATCTGCTGATACCAGTAGCCTAATACAACTGCAGGAGTGCTTTACAACCACAGTGACACCTGAAGACAGGTCTTAAATCATGCCTTTAGGAAAGCATCAACCTTGCCACTGTGTAATATGTAATATGTGGTATTATCCAGCTTTAATTTTAACACTATGCATTGTTTGCAAGGTTTGCCAATTAGCGGTGGGTTTTCTGCACATCCGCTCACATCCACATCAGCTGATGATGTGAGAGCCACAGGCTGCATAGGCCAGGCAGTGTCCTAATGTCTTTGGCAGGTTGCTATGAGGAGAACAGTGAAACAGTCACCTGACACTGTTTTATTTCTGTTTGTGGCTAGCCTGACTCACTCTTTGCATATCACATTTAAATATTTGTGTTGTCATGATAGACAAGGGTGATTTAATGAATATATTTCCCAAAGGTGAACTGGTCTGTGGTTGACAGGTAAGTAATGTTGCTTATTAGAAGCAGCAAATATTGGAGGAGAAATACCAGGGGCCTGGCCTCCACCCTCTGCACTGCTCCCCTACACACACAGCTTGCAGAAAAATACCACCAAAGATTGTTTATGTTTGAGAGAGGATCACTCTCAATATATTTAAAAAAATAATGTAAGCCTAAAATCGATTAAAATGATTAATAAAATAAGAATTTTCTCTGGACAATACTTTTGATTTGCATGCACTTTAGTCAAAATAATCTGTATAACATTGTAGAAGTTAATTTTAATACAACTTTAGTAACTGTTTAAATGTTATCTCAATAGTTCCAACTTTAATTGTGTGTTTTTAAAAGGACATTTGCAGCAATAGGTCAAATGTTGCTAGTTTTCCATGAACAATAGGTAAATGATTCATGCACGTGTGGTTGAAATCCTCCTCCATTTAGAAATCAGTTTTTCTTCTTGTTCCCACAGCGTTTGAGCTTCACTGTGCAGAATGATGTTTATGCAGAGTTCAACACTAGAAAGATATCTCCACATTAATCTACTGACAGTTTCTCTGTGCTCACTGAAAATCAGATTTAAGGGGCAGGGTTGAACCACCATGTTTCTACAGTAGCCAAGAAGGGACAAATAAAACACTGGCTCTACATAGGGGCGTTCTTTTGTGCATTTTGCAGCCACTTGGAATGGGATGGTGTAACAAGGGAGTAGCAAGCAACTACACCATTAGATGCCACTAAATACCACACTGGGCCTTTAATATGTCTGGAGGGGATCTTTAAATGTCCTTATTGTTCAGATCAAATTCAAGCAAAATAAAGCAGAAACACGCAATAAATTCATTAAATATGACCAAAATGAAACATACAGTAGTAAAACATAACCAGGTTTGTGGGCTGACCTAAAGGGATTACAAGAGTGGAAGCTGGAGGGTTTTATCTGCCTCGCATTTCAACGCAGAGTGAGAGCTCCTCGTTTCCCCTGCTCTCCGTCTACCCACTACAGGTGAGCGCTGTTGCCACGGAAACGTTTGCTTTCCCCACCGAGCCTTCTCGCGAGACTCCGGGGCATAGGGAGAGAGAGAGAGAGGGGGTGTGTGGGAGAGAGAGAGGCGGGAGGGGGGAGTCTGCCTGAATGATCTCATCCCTCCAGCAGCTGCATAGCGCAGCGAGGCAAACCCGTAACTTTCTATCAAACTTCCAAGTTGCCTTTCGGGGGGGAAGACATCGGGGCATTTTCGGTTCGAACCGGAGCGAACACGTTCCCCCGCGGAGGTAAAGGAAAGGGCGCTGCGCAGCTCGTGTTTCGGACCTTGTTACGAGTTGAAACAAAAGGAGGAAAACCCTGCTACGCGTTGTGTGACAACCAAAAAGCTCGAGGCGGAAAGGCGAGAAGGTGAGTCGGGAACGTGCTGCTGCTCATGTTGTTGTCCGCGGGACGAGGTGCGTGCACACATCTGTCGGCTGTCTGTGGACAAAGCACATCTTTGTGCAGTGTGGAGCCAGTGCGCAATCAGTGCCACTGTGTGTGTGTGTGTGTGTGTGTGTTTTAAATGGGGTTTGGACTCGGTGAGAAGCGGCTCTACCCGACAGTCACCGGGGCTGTCAAAGTGTATGCATCCGCTGTGTCGTTGTATGTCAAGGGCATTGTTCCCAGCACTGCCACGGGGAGACGATTCACAGGTGGTACCGTGCACACTACAGTGCACCTATAGAGGATGTGTGTATGGAAGTCTGCTTGTGTAACTGTCACCGTGCGAACAATCAGCGTTTTACAACATGGTATTACCCCCGTGTTGTTGCCACATGATGGGTTTCAGGCAGGTGATTTCCCTGTGCCACATCTGGATGCCCCAGAGAGCTCGGGTGTGTGTGCAGCTCTGCCTGGTTCATCCTCTTGGTGAACAGATTAGGCCAAGCTGATTGCGTTCAGCCTAATCAATATGCCAATGTTAAATGATGTGCCTCACGGTGGCCACTAGGCATTTCGATCACATGACACTCTGTTTGCTGATTTTTATTTATGTCTGATTTGTAGAATATGCATAAAAGTTTAGAACCAACCTTTTTGGGCAGACAGAGACTGTTGGTGAAGAGAGAGAGAGCAGATATTACAGTGGTGCCAACATCTGGCACATAATGCATGGCAACAGGGCAGAGAACAGAAATTTGCTCAGATAGTAACAACCAGGAAAAATGTGCCAACCCGTCAAAGTTCAAACGTACGCAGTAATGTGTCCAAAACTAACCCACTTACCAAATATCAGCTGGTTACAGGTACGCAGGTTGGGAATGGAGCATCAGTGGGCTCCCCTCTTACTGAATCAGAGCGCCCGCTCTAGTAGCAGTGCTTGTTGGAGTTGGATAACTTGGCGTGAGTCAGGTGAAGGAAAAGGAAGCTTTGGAGTTTAGCTTTGGGCAAGGATCAAGGATTTTTAGCATTCTTGATAGGCTTAGCTGACCTGCGGTGGGCATGACTGATCATACAGCTGCACTGCCATTTTTACTGGTGAGTCTAATCTCAGCTTTGTCCCGTGTGCTTGTTCCAAATCGTGGCTACTCTTCACACTGGACTGCTTCTTGCTTTCTGGGATTTTATGACAGAGGATGAATCTAATGCAAATAAAGCAGCTTTATATCACTGTTGGGGAGGGGGAAGGACGCGTCCATGCTCGGCTTTGATCAGAGATGCCACAGTGGGCCAATAAGTCTGTTTCATGCTGCTGCCAAAATACCATTCAAGGTTAAGATAAGACATTTCTGCGTGGGCCTTAACGCGTCTCATTTAGGGAGATAGCAGCATGAATGACAACACACTGACGAGATAAGTCCAAAGAAGAGTTCTTGTGCTGCTCTCATCAACAAGCATGTACTCGCAAACTCCAAATATGACTCTTCCTTGAGGAAAAAAAGCTTCTGCGTCTGACGTTTCCTACCAGTGTAAATATTCCTCCCCCCTGCTTTATTACTGAAGGACAGTGTTTCTATTTTCACTCCTGCATCATACTTCTCACATAACAGTAACAATTGTTATTGTGCTTCATTATCGCCGAGTCTTTTCGAACGTGCCCACGCGTTCACAGAGGGATGCTTCCTGTTGCTAAGTTGAGTTTATGTTTCTATTGTCTCTCATGCATTGGCTGGAGGGGAATAGCTCGAGCAAAGATAACAGACAACAACAAGAGGAGCATTGTGCTGCTTTATAATTTGCCACTCTGGAATGTGTGGGCTGCAATTATGCTAAGTGGCCATCATGAAATGCTTAAATGAACTGTTTACATTTTATAATGAATTATTGTTGTGATTAAGTGCATTTATTCCTTGTTGGTTTAATGATCTTAATGTCTTAAGTAGGCTTTGACCACGCCTCTTAGCTGCCCTTTCAAAGTTTCCAAGGTTACATCAGTTATCAAACTTTGTGACTTCACCTTTTGGAAATGTGCAGTACCATCTGACTGGCTGCTGTTGAGCCACCTCCAGCTGCCCGTTAACTGATGACAGACTACACGACCAACTAAACAGACCTTGTCGCGCTTGTGGCCCTGGATGATCCGGTGCGCCAACAGGACCAATGTCAACTACGAGGCCAGTTTCTTCATGCTTGATTATTCTACGACGGAGTCAGCAGTGAGTCGTGTTCATGCGGTTTGACACAACCTTCAGTAATAGCTTGAAGTATATCACCTTTTTAGAAAGAAAAAGGGAAGGGAAGCTGCGTCAGTTTTAACATGAGTGATGTGTCTGGCCGATATTAGTCAGTGGGTAGTCAGAAGTCAAATGACTTGATGATAATACGGCCCCCAGCTTGTTTTTTTTCCCCTGTGCGAGTGTCTTTTTGAGGGGTCGATGAGTTTGACTGTAATTAGGTGTGACTACGGGTCTGCGTTTCCTGCTTGCTAAACTGTTGGAATGCTCTTTCTTTTGTCTGGATCGGACGGTCCACTGTATACCAGCCAATGGAGGAAAGCAGAGGGCTCGGAAGCTACAATAGTGATGATGTAATCCCTTTTCAGCGCACTGTCACCGAGTAAATGCGCGTAGACAAAGGAAAATTCCCCTCCTTTTCACCCCATCTGCCACAAAGTTCGGGGAATTTTGACCTCGCAAAACTGCACAGCAATCGAGACACTGTAATTAT